AAAGAAGGAAGAAGAGGTAGGTGGAGCTGAGCTTCAGAGCACAGGGCTTAGGAGAAAAGACTTTTCTTCTCTGAAATAAGGAAGAAGGATAGTGACACATGAAGACAGGTAATGGTGAAAGGCAAGTCTGTTGGAGCGCTCTGGTTCCCTTTACATATTCACCCAGTGTCTGATCAAGCAAAATGTCTAATGGAGACCTGCCTGATTTCTTGATGCAAACTTTATAGTGCTCTTGGACTCATTTTTCTTTTTCCATATCCAGGCAAGCACCTATTACTTTCCATCTCCACGGCCAGCACCTTACTGCATAGAATTTTTAGGATGAGACAAGACTTTATCACCCTCGTTTCAATTATCATCATAGTCTCGGAACAGTCTTTGTTCTCCATTTCTCTTAAATTGCTTTGGCTTTCTTGTCTCCAGTACTTTCTCTGGGTTGAGCAGCAGAGGTAGGCTGAAACTATTTAGACATCTTGATGTACCCTGGTCACTTTCAACAGTCCTATTCCCCTGATGCCATGACTTCTGCACTTTCCTGTAATGAGCTGCTGCCTGGGGTTCCCAAACAGATGCAACAGTGTGTGAGTATTGAACAAAACAATGAACTAGTTCTGGGAAAGGAGAATCCGTTAACAAATCTTCCCTCATTTCATTTTTTCATCTCATAGTACTTATGGCTTACGCATATATATATATATATATATATATATACACAGAGAGAGATTTGTGTACACATGCACACATATATACACACATAGTAAATAAAAGCATCTAGCAATTCAAACACACTAGTCACTCCTCAGAAGGTTGGGCACTCTACTTCCGTAGAGATACTGCCTCCGAAACCCAAGGGGGTGTGGGGGTGTCGCTATGAGTCGGGGCCAACTCGACGGCACATAACAACAACAACAACCTACTCGAGGGCACATAACAACAACAACAAGAAGCAATACAAGGTTGTAAAAAGTACAAAGTGAGAAATACAGGCAATAAAAGCTATTGGAGCTTTGAAATAATAGAAAAGCATCAAAGAGGTAGTGTGAAGCAAGTCTGACATGGAAAGAAAACGAAAAAAATGAAACTCACTGCCAGAGAGTCGATTCAACTTACAGCAGCCTCTCCTTGGGTTTCCAAGGCGGTATCTCAGGGAAGTAGATTGCCCATCTTCCTTCTGAGGAGTGGCTGGTTGGTTTAAACTGCCAGCCTTCTGGTTAGCAGTCAAATGCCTTAGGCACTACACTACCAGAGCTCCAGGTAGATTTAAACAATACAGGTGGAAGAATGTTGCAGAAAAATTAGCAAAGACCAAGAAAATGCTTGGTGATATTTAGGGAACAACAAAAGGCCAGTTTTATGGCTCTATTAAAGAATTTAGGTCTCTATCAGAGATGAAGAGATATTGAAGGTTTTAGAATGGAGACTTGAAAATTAATCTGGAAGAATTGTGCAAGACAGATTGAAAGAAAAAAAATGGAGAACAAAGACTATTCAGAGACTGACGATACTTGAAACGAGGATGATAAAGTCCTGTCTCATCCTAAAAATTCTATGCAGTACGGTGCTGGCAGTGGAGATGGAAAGAAATAGGTGCTTGCCTGGATACAGAAAAAGAAAAATGAGTCCAAGAGTCTAAGGTTTCATGCTGGAAGGAAAGAATGATACCCTCTAGAAAATTAAATAGGAATTAGTTTAACGAGCAAAGTAGCTCAACAAAATTTAAGTATGTGTGCCCTGAGATGAGATAGACATATTAGGGAGCAGAGATATAGTAGATGGTTATGACTAAATTTCAGGGAAGAGGTAAGTACTGAAAATGGGTGTCTGAGAATCATCTGTATTGGATAAAATGTAGAGAACAAGTAGGGGAAAAAGTAGAAGAAAGGGAACAAGGGAAGGAGAGTGTGAGAAGCAACCCAAGATTAGAAGACGAGTAGAGAATTTCAGACAGTAAGGAAGAAGTAACTTTTAAAGATGGGAAGAATTTAACAATAGTTAAGAGTATTTAACAAGTATTTAACACTGAAGAGATAGTACATTGAGAAAAAGCCAGTGACATGGTCACTTTTGATCTTAAAAAAAAAAAAAAAGATTCAGTAGGAAAAAGGAGTCAAAAGTCAACTAATATGGGGGAGGAATAAACGGGTGGTGACAATGATAATGAGAAAAAGTACTTAATGAAAATGGAAAATGTAGTGGTCAGAGTCACAAAGGTCACTAAGCTAAAGAGGAGCTAGGTCAAGTGAGGGTTTACTTCTCCTTTTAGGACTTGATCATAATTCTTGGCAGAAATAGGATGCTAGTGAAGGATCAATTGAAGAAGTAGGAGGAGCAAGGTTATGAGGAAGCAAGAGGATTAGGATTAAGAGCAAGGATATTGAGGGGTTAACCTTGAAGAGGAAAAAGACAGTAGAAGTATGAGAAGATGTGTGAAGAATCAGATTTTTAAGTAAAAACGGGACATTGATTTTCTCATTCACCTGAAGGCAGTTACATGCTGAGTGTGTGAGGAAACTGACTGCTTAAACTGAGAAAGGAAAGGATAGAGGTAACTGGGGTAGAATCTTACACATGACATCACAAGACTGAGTTCAAGTCCCAGCTCTGTTTCCTTGGGCTGACCAGCAGACCTCTTTGAGAATTAGTTTCTTCATCTGTTTAAAAAAAAAAAGGCAATGCTTACTTCAAAGAGTTGTTAAAAATTAAAGTGTACATGTAAACTATAAAGCACTTCTTAAACAAGAGAAGCTTGGAACACCTACCACCAGAAATGAGATAACAGCATGAATAAAACATTAAGGAAGCATCATCAAGGCGCTCTGCCAGTGGAGAAGTTCAGTGCAAGACAACTAACAAAGTCCAAATGGGTTTTGTGACTTTCAGAAGCACACTGGAGAAAGCAGATTCTGACTCAGGCTAAGTGTTGACAAGTACAAGAGGCCAAAGAAATCAAGGTAAGAACTATTTTAAGACTGTTGTAGGCATTATTACTTTTGGAAATTATAAGTAATTTTTATATAAAAGTCAAACAACCTTTGACTTGTTGACATTACATTTTGGAAACGGCCAAACGTTTCTGTCATTTATAGTTCTCTTTTCATATTTTAGAGCAAACAATTTTTTTTTTTCTTGTAGATTTTACGTTTTTGAAAGCTTAGGCTTCACAATGCCTATAGCATAAAATGGATAATGAAGACATCAATACAACAGCTGACTATTGGGTCCAAAGCAAGTAGGGGTTAGTCATGAACAAAGAAAGCAACAATACTTTGACAAACCAGAAAGGTTTAAAAGACTGGAGATAATGAAAACGGGACGGATAAGGAGCTAGCGCATTACCATTCTTGGAATCCCAGGTGCTGCAAGGCTCCCATATGGCCAAATCATCAGACATTTCAGGTAACAGCATCAAAGAGCTATGAAGTTAAAAATGCCATATATGTCTTTCTTCCCAAATAGTTTGTGAGCCCACAAAGGGCTTATTCCTCACTGACATCCTCCACTGTCCCATTATGACCAGTCCAGGGCAAATCTAAGTCCTCCTTAATTGATAAAAACAGCGAGATGGACTTACTCCGTTGGTTTCACGTAACTATGTAATTATGGATGACAACTATTCCTACCCCGTGGGTCATCTGTACACTCTTCCCTCTCCCTAAGGGGTGAAACTACTGCTTCTCAAGCCCCAGGGACTCGAGAATAGAGCTCCCCGGAATCTGCAGGATGAAGCCCTCAATTCTAGACCTCGCTTCAACGTTCTACATAACTGGTCCCCAGATCCAGAGTCTGAGGTGCCTTTTTTCCCGAAAAATGCCATAGTTATCGAGCCGCCGGGGTTCTTCCAACTGCCACGCTAAATCCGAGAAACTCCTTAACTAAACTAAATTCGGGGTGCCAAAAAGAGATGCAGGCAGCCCTAGACCCCCCCCAAAGATTTCTTCAGAAACAAGGGTATCGCCAAAAACTCTGCAACTCCCAGCAAGCTCTGCGCCAAGAGCCCTCCGAGCCAACTGACAGCGCCACCCACCAATGGGAGAGGGCAGTTCTGAGCCCGGGGAACCAATGCTAGGGTGGGAAGGAGATCGTCTAGGAGTCTATATTAGCGCGGCTTTTAAATTGGTCCTGAGGCTACTCTGGTCGCCACAGAGATAGTGGGTCAACCCTCGTAAAATGGTGACGCTGGCTACGCTATGCCGCTGACTCACAGCCTAGCTCTTCGCCTCCTTCCAGGATCCGATCCCTCCAGCCACCTCCGCCCCTGGCCTTTCGCTTGGTCCCGCCCCCCCGGGTGTGGATTGGCTAATATGTGGAATTTCCAAAGCTTATTGGCTTCGCTTGATGTCACTCCGGAGGGAGGCGGGGCTCGGAGCGGCGAGGGCCGCCCCTCTCAGACGGTGATTGGACTCGCCTCAGTAGACCCGGGATGGGATTGGTGCGAGGAGGGGCAAGGACCTTGGGGCATCTTGGACTGTGGCTCGGGCTCGCGGCGCCTGTGGAGGAGCCGGCGGGGCGTTGCAGCGCCCTCCCACACCACGTGCTCTTTTCAGAGGGCCTGGTGGAGGGACTGCGAAGGAGAACCCCCTACCTCATCGCGCGGGGGGCGGGGTTGGCGCAAGGTGGCGCTTATCGCGTACCGGGCGAGCGGCCAGTGGGGGAGGGGGTGGGAGAGGTGGCAGTGGAGGGGGTGGAAAGTGCAGGGGTCAAGGAGTTGCTAGCAGGAATAGCTACGGACCTAGTCCTGGAAGCGTTTCAGAGGGGAACTTGGGGGACAGAGGAGGGCAGGGGGGTGTCTGGTATGGGATGTCATGGAAAGGAGGGAACCCTCTTGAGTAGATCTATGCGTGGTTCCTTTGAGAAATCCTCTTTTTCACTTTTGCCCTTTTATTTGCTCCCATGGTCTCTGTTCAAGTTCTGGAAACTTTCTCTTTGGGTGGGCTTAATCACGTACTACATTACGGAACTGCCCAGGGCCTTTTTTGATACTGGGTACAAACGTGGGGAGTATGTCAGAAAACAGGAAGCAGCCGCTGCTGGGCTTCGTGACCAAACTCTCCGGTGGAACTGCACCTGGCAACTCCGGCAAGACTCACTGCCCTATGTGCATGGGGCTTTTCAAAGCCCCCAGGCTCTTGCCTTGTTTGCACACAGTTTGCACCACGTGTCTGGAGCAGCTGGAACCCTTTTCTGTAGTGGATATGCGAGGGGGAGACTCTGACACAAGTTCTGAGGGGTCAATATTCCAGGAACTCAAGCCACGCAGTCTTCGGGGGCAGATCGGCATCCTCTGTCCGGTATGTGATGCTCAGGTGGACCTGCCTGTGGGTGGAGTGAAGGCTTTAACCATAGACCACCTGGCCATGAATGATGTGATGCTGGAGAGTCTGCGTGGGGAAGGCCAGGGGCTGGTGTGTGACCTGTGCAGCGACAGGGAGGTGGAGAAGAGGTGTGAGACCTGCAAAGCCAATCTCTGCCACTTCTGCTGCCAGGCTCATAGGTAAAGATGGGATACCCCAGTTGGTGTGGTTAAGAGAGGAGTACAAAGAGGTGTCAAGACACGGAAATCCCTTGGTGACCGGATAGAAAAGGAAAGCTTTCTCAATAGCCCTTAAGGTCAAAGAGCAATATAAGGTGTTCAGTGCTCCAGCCAAAGATACAATCCCTGTAGTAATCATAGCAACCAAGGTTTGCATAGCCCTACAACGCACATTCAAAGTCTCCTTCAATCATCAATCACTTCTGTAATGAGTAATTGTACCAGGTGCTGGAGACACAGAAAAGATAGAAATAGCATAGTCTCTGCCCTCAATCTCATTGAACCTTGCAATTCTTACAGTAAAGCAGGTACTGTTTTCATCTCCATGTGTTAATTAAGAAACCTGAAGCTCAGCAATAATAAATGATGTGCCAAACCCTGCTGCTGGAATTAAGTACCTAGTAGAACTGAGCTTAAAAATCCAGATCTCCTGACTGCACTCGGCTCTTTCTACTACTAATCAGTGCTGCCTCCCCAGCACAGGTGCTGATTGCCTTGGCTTTTCCTCAGCCTTTGCTTTGTACCCTGGAGTTACCTTGGAGCTTGGTTAGGTGGGCTTGTGGTTACCTCTTTGATGGCATTTGGTGAACAGTTTGTCACGTGGATCGTTTTCTGTTCTTTTTCACCCACCCCACTCCCCACCCTTACACATCAGAATATAAAATGGCCTAGGCTTTAGGATTAGCCTATGATCATTTTTTAAGTTCTGTTTTATATTTGTTCTGGCTCCACTAACAGAACAAGTTAGTAGTCTTCCATCTTTTCCATTTTTAATTTGTAATTATGTGATAGTCCCAATGGCTGTCTTGCTGCCAGCGGACCCTCCTTTCTCTAGTCACAACAGGCCTATAAGCTTCAAGTTGATATAGTGCCAAAGGGGGAACGCTGAGCAGTCACGGTGATTTCCTAGGGATTTCCCAGAATCTCTAGAGGACTACACAGAAGGGGAATTAAAGGAGAGCTTTAATATTATTGATCTCACTTTCTAATAACTCTGATGCACCTTGTTGAGGGAAATTCTAGCCTGTTGCTTTGAATAATACAGGCATTGGTCAAAGGAAAGTCTTAGATGAAGACTGGATGAGGCTTTTTGTCGGGGAGAGTGGCATTTTAATACCTTGGGGTTTATTGCTGTGCCATCTGGCCTAGATTCTGTCTCTTGGTGCTGAGTTTCCACTGTCCTCTCACCTCTTAGCTTGCTGTGGAAGCACTTGTCTAAACTTGCCATATTAACTCTTTGGGAAAAGTTCCAGGATGGAATCTTAACATTGCAACCTTGTGCAAAGTCATGTTCCAAGCCCTAGTCTACTCTTTCACGTAGGTATTACCCACATAAATAATTGTGGAATTAGAGAAGATCATGAGGTTAGTAAGAGGTTAGACCAAGGATTTGAACCAAAATTGTTTGGCTTCAGATCCCATGCTCTTAAACCTCTTTGCCAAATTGTTTCCCAACTAACGGTGGTCTCTAATTTCCTATTCCTGATTCTGTTTGCCTCTAGGAGGCAGAAGAAAACTACTTACCATACCATGGTGGATCTCAAAGACTTGAAAGGCTACAGCCGTATTGGGAAACCTATCTTGTGTCCTGCTCACCCTGCGGAGGAATTGAGGCTGTTTTGTGAGCTCTGCGACTGGCCTGTGTGCCGGGACTGTGTGGTGGGTGAGCACCGGGAACATCCCTATGACTTCACGAGCAATGTTATCCACAAACATGGGGACTCTATAAGGGAGCTCCTTAAAGGCACTCAGCCCCACGTGGAGGCCTTGGAGGAAGCCCTGACTCAGGTCAGTGGGCTGAACAGCGCGCTGCAGGAGCGAGTGGAGGCTGTGGCAGCTGATGTTCGAACCTTCTCTGAGGGCTACATCAAGGCCATTGAAGAGCATCGAGACAAGCTGTTGAAGCAACTGGATGACATTCGAGTCCAGAAGGAAAACTCCCTGCAGCTTCAGAAGGCACAGCTGGAGCAGCTGCTGGCCGACATGCGAACTGGAGTGGAGTTTACTGAGCACTTGTTGACCAGTGGCTCGGACTTGGAGATCCTTATCACCAAGGGAGTAGTAGTAGAACGGCTCACAAAGCTGAACAAAGTTGAATACAGTGCCCGTCCTGGAGTAAATGATAAGATATGTTTCTCTCAGGAGAAAGCAGGCCGATGCCGTGGCTATGAAGTTTTTGGAGCCATCAATACCAAAGAGGTTGATCCAGCCAAGTGTGTCCTTCAAGGAGAAGGTAGGAAGGCATTTCCTTTTGGCATTGAGAAGGTATGGACAGGGACGTGGTATTTAGAGTTGTGGCTTAAGACTTTCATTCATCTAGGCAGACCTCCCTAAGCTTTACTAATTAGTTTACCAAGGGAGAGAGACATATGAGTCTGAAGGACAGTGATCTCTCCTTTGCCCTTTTCTTTCTAATTTGTTCTGGTCAGGAGTTGGAGGGGTATAGCTGATATCCTTTGCTGGCATAAGGCCCGATCCTTTTCCAGTTGAGAAAAGTAATAGCTGTCAAGGTACTCAAGGATCATGCTTTGTTTCTATCAGATGAGAGAACAGAGATGATGGTACCCATAGAGCTTTGATAGTATAGTGCCTAAGGCATTTGACTGCTAATCAGAAGGCTGGCGGTTCAAACCCACCAGCCCCTCCTCAGAAGGAAGATTGGGCGATCTACTTCCATAGTGATACTGCCTCGGAAACCCAAGGGGGAGTCGCTGTGAGTCGGATTTGACTTGACGGCAGTGAGTTTTTTTTTTTTTTTTTTTTTAAATAGGAGATAACAACATTGATTTTAGAGCAGGACCAAATCCTGTCTGTTCAGAGAGGAGCATGATGGGCCCCAGAGTGAAGGGATCAAGGTTTGAATAAGCTACTTATGCCACAGGTATTTAGGAAAATGGCTGTAGTAGACATTTCATTCAATAGTGTCCTGGTCCTAAAGGAAGGATGTTATTCAAACATTTCATGGATTAGTTCAGACAGGAGGATTGTATCCTGACTGTGGCACCAGAATTCTTAACTGTCATAGATCCCTGTGAAACACCTACTAACTTGAATATACAATTTCATGAGGTTCTTAGTCCCTTCAGTAGCCTCTCAGTGAACCTCTTAGTGGTTCCTGAATCCCAGGTTAAGAAAACCTGTTTCAAATGAATTCTGGCCTAGGGGCTATAGCTATTGGATATCCCCCACACCTGGGCATGAACTACCTAAAAAACCAAACCCACTGCTGTCAAGTTGATTCCAACTCAAAGCGACCCCCATTGGGTTTCTGAGGCAGTAAATCTTTATGGAAGTAGATTGCCCAGTCTTGTATCCGTGGAGTGGCTGGTAGGTTTGAACCACCAGCCTTCTGGTTAGGAGTCAGTCAGATGCCTTAGGCACTGTGCTACCAGAGCTCCTTATGAACTGCCTAGTTGTGGAAAATCTCATAACAGGAAGGGTCCAAGCTGGTCAGTAACACCTCCTGTCCAATCCAGCAGGAGATGGAGCTCAGAGAGGGTGGTTTTAGGGTTACCAGCCTGACTCACGGGGTATAGAGGTTTTCTTCTCTGAATAATTATCTTGAGTATTTTCAAAGCTTTCTTAGGATTGTAGTTAATTAAGGTCAGGATCCTATGTGACCCAAGAGCTGCTACTGGCTGAAAGGGGAAGCTACAGTGAAAATGAAACACAAACTTTTTGTTCTGAAGAGAAAAAGAAAGATGTGTCTGATTTTGAGATGTAATAAGCACTGTAACTTGCCTTTGAGGTGGATACTGATTGTTTACCTTTTGCAGATCTCCACAGAGCCCGGGAGAAACAGAAAGCCTCTTTCACCCTGCTTTGTAAGGATGCAGCAGGAGAGAGCATGGGCAAGGGAGGAGACAACATTCAAGTTGCTGTGGTTCCTAAAGATAAGAAAGATTGGTTCGTATTGTACAATTAGATATCATGGTTAATAAGCAGTGATGAAACTGATAAGTTGAGGTCCCTTGCAGTAATGGAGATGTATCTGCAGTACTTGCATTTTATCTCCTAGTGATGCTGTTAAAAAATATGCCATAACCAATTGCATCAGATATGTTTTGTGTAGGTTTTATACCTATACTCAATTCCCTCTCAAAAGTATTATTTGCCCCTTAGATGGTCTTTATTCCAAGCCTTCAATAGACTGGAAATCTGTGTTACATTGAATGGTGCCTTTCTCAAATTCAACCCCACTTTGCTACTTAATGGTTCTGGGAATATATTTATATTTCTCTGGAATTGGAGTAGGAAGGAGGGAAGACAAAGAGTCTGGGATGCAACAGAAGCCCCTTGAAGAGAACACAATACTCGTGTAATTTATTGCATATCAGATTAAATTGGGATTTATGTTGCTTACCTACCCAGGTATAGGTAACTTTGAGGCAAGGTGTAGTGGCATCCTACTTAGGGGACATTTAAAATTAATATCAGATGGAAAGATGTCGAGTTTACATCCCAAAAGAATAGGCAACTAAAGCAGGCTTATGAAAGTGAATGCTTTTTTAATTCTTATTTCCATCCAGTCCAGTCAGGACAATTGTCCAAGATAACAAGGATGGGACATACTCTGTCTCCTATACCCCCAAGGAACCTGGGATCTATTCTGTGTGGGTCTGTGTCAAAGAGCAGCATGTACAGGTGAGTAAAATCTGTGGCCACCTTCTCTGAGTTCCTTTTCACACTGTTCTCCCTCCTCATAGCTACCTCAAATTCTATCCTCTCAGCACATGTGGGCATTTCTTACAGGATCAGCCATAACAAGGAACTGAATGGGGGTCTTTTCTTGTTTTCTTCCTTATTTCTCTTTACTTTAAATGTGGCTCACATTTTGCTACTGTCATAGTTACTAGAGGATGCTAGTGACTGTAACAACTCTGTATCCCTGTTTTACCTCCTGGAAGCCATGCTTATATTTTATCACTCTCCCAGTCATTTTATTGGAATTCTTAATTCTTGGAAGATGCCTTGATCACAGGAGGCAGTCTACCAGCAGACAAACATACATGATCAAGAAATAGAATCTAGGCCAGGATTTCCCAGCTTTGTTCAGGCTGTGACCAAATGTGGAACACATTTGGGAGAGTTCTGCCCCCTCCTTTCAACTGACCTCCTCCTCTCAGCTGACTAGTCATCTGTCTAACCATATGCCCATGTGCTTCCCTACTTACATGTTACCATGGTTACCATACCACCTCCACTAAACAAGTATAACACTTTCTAGTTTAGAGTTTATAGATTTTCAAAAATTGGGTAATGTATGTTTAGCAGAGAAATTCCAGTAGTCAGAGGTTTCCTTCAACCAGAAATCAACAGTGATAGGGTCAATGAAATCCCTTGCAGCATCATGACATGTTAGGCTTGTGATCTGTGCACCACGAAGATTCATATTCAGTAGCTACTTACTGCTTGCCTAATTAAACTAAGGAACAGTTTAGGTACTTTTTCAAGCATTATTTCACTTTCCTTTATAGCCACTCTGCAGCCTAGGGGTCATCATCTGCATTTTATCAAGTATACTGGAGAAACCAAACTTGCCCCAAATCACAGATCAGAATTTGAAACTATTTCTTTGAACTCCAAGTTGTTTTTTAAATAGATTGCAAACTCTTTAAAGGAAGAGAAACTTAACATTTGGAAGACTTCTAAGCTGCCAGACGCTTTACTTGGTGCTGTCTCAGATAATGTGGTTCTCATACAGGGCTAGGCACATGGCAACGTTCATCATTTACCATAGGATAGAAATTGGAGAATGAAAGTAACCTTTGAAGGAAACCCAAAACCAAACCCACTGCCATCTAGTTGATTCTGACTCATAGTGACCCTGTTGGACAGAGTGGAAATGCCCCATAGGATTTCCAAGGCTGTATCTTTACAGAAGCAAACTGCCCCATCTTTCTCCTACAGAGTGGCTGGTGGGTTCAAACCACCAACCTTTTGGTTAGCAGTCCAGAGCTTTAACCACAGTGCCATCAGAGCACCTCTGTTGAAGGAAATTGGGCAGGAATTACAAATTTGAGACTTTCTAACATACACTTAACTTTTACCCCCTTCCATATGCCTGCACAGCCCCAGAATCAGTGGGTGGGTAAACAGATGTGTCTAGGATAGAGGGGGGAAGGAAAAGGGCTGCCTTGTTATGTAAGGAGAAGGAGGCATGTGGCTGAGAAATTGGAGAAAGGACCTCAAGATGTCCTAGCCTAGTGGTCATGGCACTTGACTAATTACTTCTGAGTCCTCAAAAATTGAGAAGATAGAGATAGCAATCAGTCACATACAAACACAAATTGGAATTACTAGTGTTATCAACCAGCCTGCCACTTTGGTAAAGAGTATAGCCTCGGAAACCCTCTGGGGCAGTTTTGCTCTGTCCTATAGGGTCGCTATGAGTTGGAATCAATTTGACAACACACAACAGTGTATCAGGTGATCTACATGCTTCTACTCCATGCAAGGCTGGAATGAGACAATCCTGTAGGAAGATGCTTAAGCTGATTATGTTACTGGCATGTACTTTTTCTTCCCATTTGTCAGAATAAGCCCCAGTTAATACCGGTGTCAACTTCAGTTGATACTTGTATCACTGACAATGGACCTGCTCTCTGTGACTCTAGCAGTGCCCAGGCGATTCAGCCACATGGAGATCAGCACCTATATTAAGTACTTGGGAGCTCTGGTGGCATAGTGCCTAAGGCATTTGACTGCTAATCAGAAGGTTGGCAGTTCAAACCCACCAGTCACTCCTCAGAAGGAAGATTGGGAAATCTACTTCTGTAGAGATACCACCTTGGAAACTCAAAGAGGGGTCTTTGTGAGGCAGAATTGACTCCACAGCAGTGAGTTTTTGTTTGTTTGTTTGTTTGTTTTTAATTAAGTACTTAACATCTGTGGCGGAAAACATGCTAGAAGGGCAGTGCAGAATCCTTGATTATTTCACTGCATTTGTATCTGCCCCCACCCAGCTGAGCAGTGTTAGTTGTGGCCCCCTAGTCTCTGTATCTCTGTTGTTCTTCTCCCTCCAAGAGCAGACCCTGTGACTTATACTTTGTTTAGCACATAGCATGGCTTGTCACGTGCCTATTGACTTACAAGGTGATGTTCTTTGCTCTTCTGAACACTGTAGGGTTCACCATTTACTGTGACTGTGAGGAAGAAGAACCGCCCACACCAAGGGGTGTTTCACTGCTGTGCATTCTGCTCCAGTGGAGGCCAGAAAACTGCTCGCTGTGCCTGTGGAGGCACGATGCCAGGTAAGGAGGGCGAGCCACACAGTCTCGGCCTGCCCTCTGCAGTGGGTGTCCAGTGACAGCCCCTCCACTACTACACAGCCACTGGGTGTAGGACATTCAGACTTAGGCATTGTTTCTAGGAAGTAGGATTTTTGTGTATAAGTGTAACACCATTCTAAAAGTTTCATCTAAAAGCTGTTTTGTTCTGAAAATTGAAATAGCCATCCTAAATGTTTTGCATTCTTTTAGCTTTAATATAGTTCACCAAATCTGTAAGTACTATGCTTCTCTGTGGGAGGCTTGATTTTAGTAGGGCCACCTGAGCAGTGTTTTTTTTTTTAAAAAAAAAAAAAAAAACATAAACCCATCCTATTCCTTTTAAGAACTTCAAGAAATTTCAAATGAGGCAGGATTGGGGAGTGGATGATTGGTCTGGTTCTCTTTTTTTTTTTTTTTTTTGCTCAGCTTACACAAGAGAGCTAATTATTTGAAAAGAAAAAAAAAATACGTATATATCATGTCCTTAATGGAAGCCATAAAGTTGGCTTTTGTACTATTTCTCATAAACATGTCCGGATCCACCTTCTCTCTGATTACCCTGCCAATAATCTGTCCTATTTTTACTGTGATCATTTTACAGTTAAAATCCAAACCAGTTCATTTCTTTTAGTTAGCAGATTTTAACATTATTCTTAGGACTTTCACTAACATTAACTGATTTGCTGTGATCTGTCTTGACAGCTCTTCTGACTGTACAGGAGTTCAATAGCTTGTTCCTCTTACCAGGTTTTTCTTGGTATTTTCACTTTCCCGAGTCAGAATGTTGCCAGATTTAATTTCCATAGTAACTGCTAGACTCCACTCTAATGGTTGTTTTTCCCTCTCTTCTTTTTACCATACAGGTGGGTATCTAGGCTGTGGCCATGGACATAAAGGCCACCCAGGCCGTCCCCACTGGTCATGCTGTGGGAAGTTTACCGAGAAGTCTGAATGCACGTGGACAGGCGGGCAGAGTGCACCAAGGAGCCTCCTCAGGACTGTAGCACTCTGACCATTTTCAGGATATGTGGTCAACCTATTAAAACTGCAGTCAGCATGATGTTAGATTCCCAGAGGAACCAGACATTGATTAATTCTGAAGAAACTGATAGAATTGAAAATAAAGTGCCTTATCTTACAATAGAGCTCAAGTGCTTTTTTGTGAGTAACTGACTGTATGTGATTGAATGGTTCAGCACAAGAAATCACCACTACATTTCCTTTACAGGTGCCTAGGCATCTACAGTGTAGTAAATTACTTAGTATAGCTTTTCTACCCATAAGTCATTGTAAACTCAGTGGTGGAATGAGCAACTGAGGAGCTCCTGATTGTAAATGTTATCCATCTGGGTTATTTCTGTTGGGTGTGGCACAATGCAATGTTATGGGAGGCTCACTCTCAGGTGCTTAGAATTCTGTTGTTATGATTGGTTGGTTTGGGCACTCTGCCAAGCTCAAAAGGAGGCCTCCTAGAGGCAGAACTCTCTCTGACTGCTGGTTGAGGAAGATGTGCTGGGAAAGAGACACGTGTTGCTGGGAAAGAGATGCAAGAGACACACATTGCTGAGTGAGACACCGAGGGACACGCACTGCTGGGAAAGAGACTGTGAGAGACTGTTGGCTGAGGGACAGTGGGCTGGAAGAGAGACTGAGTGTTTTTCCTGAACTTGAATTGTAGCCTGGTGCTTCCCTAATAAATCCCGTGACCTGTGAGTTCTGTGTGGCCACTGCAGCGAATTATCGAACCCAGGAGAGAGGTGGTGGTGCTTTGGGAGGAACAGTTGGTGAAAGGGCTGGAGGGAGACAGCATGTCTGGCCTTGCAGTAATAGGCCTTGGGCTATTGATGGTGATTCTGCCTTCCTCTTGTGGGGTTCTAGGAGGTCAGAACATGTGGCCTCCTTGCCCTTTTTGCAGCATCTTTCTAGGAGCTCTGGTAGCCTAAGGCACTCGACTGCTAACCAGAAGGCTGGTGGTTCAAACCCACCAGCCACTCCTCAGAAGGAAGGTTGGGCAATCTACTTCTTTAGTGATACTGCCTCGGAAACCCAAGGAGGGGTCGCTGTGAGTCGGGTCTGACTTGACAGCACACAACAACAACAACAGGCATCTTTCTATGCTAATGGAGGCTGCTGTTTATTTTGTACAGGTACAGAGATGTTTTTGCCATTAGAATTTAGAAATCACTGAGATGGCATTGTTCCTTACTGATACATTACAATCTTTTTTTTATTTTCCTCTGAGCCACATGTTATTGAAATACTTCCCTCAGAGAATGAAAACATGCTTTCATCCTAAGCTACTGTTTTGCTAGCATATTTTAAACAGATTGACCCACATGTGTTATAAGACCATTATAATGTGATCTTGCCATTTAGGTGGACATTCCCCTCCTCCTTTACATCATGTCCCTCCCCTGCTCTCAGAGTCTGAAAGATTACTATTTGATAAGGGGCATACAAAGAGTAAATTAATGAAGGGAATGGTATTGAAATAGAACCTCATAAACTTAGCAGTTCTGTGCATACCAGGCTGATAACGTCATCCTCTACACATCTCTGTCAACCCTCTCTGTGTTCTAATGAGTTGCCTTCATGCCTCTTTACCTAGGAACTTAACTAGCTTTGACCCTTATAGCATGACTTCTTGGCTGTTTAAAGACTGAAGAGACTCTTGGGAAGAGGAAGTACAAGGGTCTGGTGCCTTAGCCCTGCCTGTATATTCATTTGGACTCTATATAGCAACAAACTCAGTGTGTATTAAATATAAGTATTGAAATTGTCTTTTAAGATCCCTTAAAAAGTAGGTGACTCACTGCGTGGTGACTTGAGTCAGGCAGAAGAAGTGAAATAGAGGAGGCACATTGACAGGTCATCAAGGAATACATGTCCTTGATACTAACAGATGGGGCTGCATTATTTCAGTAAATGCTAAGTTATCCTTATACCTTAGAAGTCTATATTCTCAACCTTTTCTGGAAACATTTCCTTCAGCCTCTAACCAAAATCTGATCTCCCCAGAAGATGCTATTGACCCAGTTGTTGTTATGTGCCATCAAGTCGGACCCGACTCATAGCGACCCCTTCTTGGGTTTCCAAGGCAGTATTACTATGAAAGTAGATTGCCCCATCTTCCTTCCGAGGAGTGGCTGATGGGTTTGAACTGCCAGCCTTCTGGTTAGCAGTCAAGTGCCTTAGGCACTATGCTACCAGAGCTCCTCAGTAACCCTCTCAAATTATTAGCTATTTGCTCTTCCTCAATCCTAATATCTCTGGGCCCAGAGATCAGCTAAGTGTCCTTTTAGTTCATCATTGTGGCTTTTACATCATTGGTTCACAATGGGGTGACTCTGTCCCTTAGGGGACATTTGGCAATATTTGGAGATGATTTTTATCGTTATAAACTGGAGGTGGAGGTGCTGCTGACATCTACTGAGTAGAGGCCAGAGATGCTGTTAAATAACTTACAGTACACAGGACAGCCTCCAGTCCCCCAACAACAAAGTATAATCCAGTCCAAAGGGTCAATGGTGCCGTGGTTGAGAAACCCTATTCTAGACCATTATCTTTCCTTCCTTTCTAAAAATGGCCATTTTCCTCTTAAAGAAAAACATCTATCTTGGTGTCACTCCAGTACAATTGTTGTTAGTTGTCACTGAGTTGGTTCCACATGTGCAGAATAGAACTGCTCCGTAGGGTTTTCAAGGCTGTGACCATTTGGAAGCAGGTCAGTAGGTGTTTCTTCCAAGACTTCACCAACCTTTCATTTGATAATCAAGTGTTTCATCACTTGCACCATCCATAAACCTTAGGTGATAATATCCACATAGACTTCTTAGTTCCATGACCAATTCTCCATTATTTCTTCCCTACCTTAGCCAAGTATTCCAGTAGTCACACCCTAGACCTTTATTCCAACTACACTTTCCAAATCTTAATTTGAAACATCCTACAACAACCACCTTGCATCTTTCCAGCTCATTCACTGTAATCACCTAATACTTTTCCTCAAACAATGTTCTATCTTGGAACTGACAATGCAGTGATTCTAGCACCTTACTGCTTCTGTCACCCCATTCAAGTCCTCCTCTTCATAATTACCCAGATTCTACCAATTATAATTATCACTTCCTTGCATATAGCCACCCTCTATCATTCCTACCTAACAAAACTCCAACCCTGGTTAGATCCAACTCTCCATCTAACCCAATTGAATGATCCTAGAGAAAAATACAAAAGCAAAATGTCTAGTCTCACTTTAAATTTATGACAACTAGTTTCAGTGGGCCTTAGCATTGCCCAATAGTATGACTTTGTCTCCCTAGTCCCTTTACTCTGTCTCTCTCTCCTAGACAATGATGTCATACCTTTTCCTCAAACTCCAATTTGACCCCATCTCTCCTGTCCACCAATTGTTGTTGTTGTTGTTATGTGCCGTCGAGTCGGCCCCGACTCATAGCGACCCCTCCTTGGGTTTCCGAGGCAGTATCACTACGGAAGTAGGATTGCCCAACCTTCCTTCCGAGGAGTGGCTGGTGGGTTTGAACCGCCAGCCGTCTGGTTAGCGGGCAAGTGTCTTAGCCACTATGCTCCCAATTACCTTGCTTATTTAACCGAAAAAATAAAAGGATTCAAAAGAGAACTTTACTCTCCCCTACCACATCTACAAAAAAAGAAGAAAAAAAAAAGCAACACTGCCATAGAGTCAATTCCAATCCTAGCAACCACCATTGGGTTTTCAAGTATATAAATCTTTACAGAAGTAGATTGCCTCATCTCCCACGGAGCAGCTGGTGGGTCAACATCCAAGTGCCTTACTCACTATGCCACCAAAGCTCCTTACACCTACCTGTATTCCTATCAAAAACCAATTTCTATACTTGTGTACTAGATCCCATTCCATCTCTTCCACCCAGGAACATTACTCCAGTAATTTCCCCCTCTCCTGGGTTTCTCATTTCAGAAAACATGCTATATTTCCCACCTTAAAACATATTTTCCTTGGTTTAACATCCCCCACCAGCAAATAGTCCATTTCTCTGCTTCCTTTTAAAAAGACTTCAAAAGAATTGCTATTTGCTATTTCCACTTGCTCTTTCCATTCTCTTTTGAATCTACTACCATCAGTCTTTCAAACTTACCACTCTACTCAAACAGCTCTTCTTAAAGTCACCAATAATATCCATGTTATCAAATTTAATAGTTCTCAGGCTTTATCTTTCTTGATTTATCAGATGCATTTAACATAATCACTTTCCTTTCTGTAAAACTTTTTTTTTTCCTCTTGGTTTACAGGGCATCACTCTTCTTAATTGTTCCCATTGGATATTCCTTCTTAGCCCCATGTGCTTGTCACTTACCTCCCAATCTCTGAGCACTGGAGAGCCTCTAGGATGAGTTCTTGTATTTCTATCTTCCGTCACTCAGATGAGCCTATCCTCTCATGATTTTAAATAACCACTAATACATTGATGATTCCCAAACTGATCTCCAGCTCCAAACACCATACAATTATATCCAATAGCTTGTGTAATGTCTCCCCTTGAAAGTGTGTCAGGCAACTCACATTTAAGATGTCCATATCAGAACTCTAAATTTGTAAACCATCAAACTGCTTTCCCTGCAGTCTTCTCCATCTCTTCAAAGAAAAGTGCACATCCATTCTTACTGTTGTTCAGCCCAATAACCTTGGGCTCCTTTTTTACTCTTGCAAATCCTATCAGAGGTACCTTCAAATTCATCTACTGGCCACTATATTGCTACCACCCTGGTCTAAAGTACTCATTTGTTGTGATCAGTCTTGAGAGTCCTTCTGACTATAGAGAAGTCTGATAGCTTGTTCCTCTCACCAGGTCTTTCTTGGGTATTTTCACTTCCTTGAGTCAGAATGTTGCCAGATTTAATTTCCATGGTAACTGTTGGACTCCACTCTGGTTGCTTTTCCTGTTCTCTTTGTACTATGCAGGTGGATACCTAGAGTGTTGCAATATTCTTCTAACAGGTCTTCTTGCTTCA